ATAAAAATTGTCATATAAAAGCGAAAAATCTGAGATCGCTGAAGCAATCAAATACCTCACCACAAAATTACGCCAGTCTGCAAGTTGATCTTATTGAGGCCGTCAGTTTAGAAAAAGTGAATCATAGACCTTTTTTCTCAAGCTTTAAGGAGTTTCTTTCTTGAGATACTATGTAGTTCTCACCTAATTACGCCGTAGAGCAGTTGTACTCGAAATAAGTGAAAGACAATTCATAAACATAAAAGAACACCGTGATCACATGATCTGTCATCATTTTTGTTGCTTGCATATCATGTGACGGCTGTGATTCTTTCATTAAATGATTGATAGTTTAGTTTAGTGGTATAGAAAATTATGTGTTTCCAGGTTCATTGAGATTTTTTGGAATAAGTTCTTATCTCATTGAATTAAATTGAAACAGATTTGTTGCCACGTGGAGGCTGAGGAAAGAGCTCTCTATTTTTTCAATTCCCAGAATTCAAATGATCAGAAGGGTTGTAACTCAACATTGTGTATAATATAACGAGTGCAACAGAATGGGTACACCATTTCCAAAGATTCGTAGTGCAGAAACAAGATATATTGTTGCGGAAATGTTCGTCTCAAAATATTATGCACAACAAATTTGTTGTTAACTCATGGATAGCATATAAGAACATAGCTTTTTTTCGAACATGTCAGATTTTCAAATCTAATTCTGTGCAGTTACCAACATAATCGACTGAATATTTCATTTTTTTGGCACATTCTGAACTCCTAATCGTAGTTTATCTTGTCTCTTTTTGTCTTGCTTTACGTTGAAAATCTCTTTTGTTGATTTAGGTCAGGACATTCTCGCTCGTGCGAAGAATGGAACTGGCAAAACTGGCGCGTACTGCATCCCGGTTATTGAGAAGATTAATCCGGCTATCAAAAAAATCCAGGCGCTAGTCATTGTTCCTACTAGAGAACTTGCTCTGCAAACGTCTCAGATCTGCGTTGAACTTTCGAAGCATATTAAACTGAAGGTGAGCCTGGTCAACTTGATATCGCAGTCATTGTCAACTTTTATTCGTATTTGGGTAACTGCTAAGTAAACACTTTATCCTCTTTTAGATTATGGTGACTACCGGTGGTACAGATCTTCGTGATGATATAATGCGTTTGAATGGCGCTGTACACATGGTAATAGCCACTCCGGGACGTATCCTTGATCTGATGGAGAAAGGAGTGGCGGACATGTCAAACTGCAAGATGCTCGTACTTGATGAAGCTGATAAGCTTCTTAGCCAAGATTTCCAGGTGAGCCTATGTTTTGTTGTTGCGTTAATTGGGTATAATTTGGACAAATTCGATCAAAAATAACAGCTATCTTAAGGAGATTAGATATGTCCAGTCTGCTTTTTTTACTGTTCTTGGGAGTTCTTGTTGGAAGGCTAATAGAATTTATGAACAGTTTTGTCTCTTGATTATGAAAAGGTTATGTTGCGCGACTGTATAACTCTGATAAGCCATAATTGTTAAAGTGGCTACTACATGTTCGACTTGAAAGTAGGTCTAAAGAGCACGAGAGAGCCTGCGAGCTACAAATAGTAAGGAATTGGAAATAATCAGTTAAACTCCTCAAAGTGTTTTTGAAGTGATGCAACTGCGACTAATGTTGATCCAGTTTGATTTTGTAATATATTGAAGTAGAAGTTTTGGTTATGTGAAGGTAAATTGTTTCTGTACGACGATATCTTCTCTTTAGGGCATCCTTGATCGCCTTATTTCTTACCTGCCTAAGGAACGACAGATTATGCTGTATTCTGCTACGTTCCCAATGACCGTAACCGAGTTTATGCAGAAGCACATGAGAAAACCTTACGAAATCAACCTCATGGAGGTTTGCTAGATTTTATAATTTGTTATTTATTAATAATTTAAATACCACGCAGAATATAATTACTAATTTTTTTCAGGAGCTAACCCTCCTTGGTGTCACTCAGTATTACGCGTATGTACAGGAAAAACAAAAAGTGCACTGTCTTAATACTCTGTTCCGCAAGGTGAGTGAACTCGACAATGCGGAATTTGTGAATAGTGCGACTCTTTCCAGCTCCAAATCAATCAATCGATTATTTTCTGCAACTCTACGCAGCGCGTTGAACTTCTAGCCAAGAAGATCACTGAAATAGGATATTCGTGCTATTACATACACTCGAAAATGGCACAAAACCATAGAAACCGCGTCTTTCACGATTTCCGTCAAGGAAATTGCCGTAACTTGGTTTGCTCGGATTTGCTTACTCGTGGTACGTACCACACTGTGATCTGATTCTTTCATAAGTATCTAGCAACTTGTTTCAGGTATTGACATACAAGCTGTAAATGTGGTTATCAATTTCGATTTTCCCCGTAATGCTGAAACCTATCTCCATAGAATTGGCCGGTTAGTTGGGCATTTTTTATTTATTTATAGTATTTATTTGTCATTGTTTGTTTTGTGAAGTGTTAGCATCTACTCTTTAACTTTGCTGCTCAGATCTGGGAGATTCGGTCATCTCGGAGTTGCCATTAACCTCATCACGTACGAAGACCGCCACACTTTGCGTCGTATTGAACAGGAACTTCGGACTCAAATTGAGCCTATTCCAAAGGCCGTCGATCCGAAACTCTATGTCGCTGATTTCCAGATAGTTGAGGATGAAGATAATAATAAAGCAAACGCGAACTGAGCCCAAGGTAAGAATGACTTGCTCTCTTGACAATATAAGTGCGCAAAAATGTAGCATTTTTAGCATCACTACTCAAAAGTGCTTCCATCTGATCTCGTTACATATTCGATGGCTGAGCCTCTTTTTTTCGCGATTCAACATACCACGCGGCAATACGTTCCATATGTAAACTTTACGTGCTCTACGTTGTTTGTCTTTTGTTCCCAGTTTCTAATTTTGTTCCTAGTTCTTTTTTTTT